GTGCAGTTATTGGCGCGCTCTGCGAGGCGGGCGTTTGCGATGCAGCGGCCAGCGCGCACTGCGACGAGGACACCGCCGGCGCCATGCTCGTCATCGCGCTCGCCATGTTGCAGCTCTCGTGTAGCGGCATCATCGCTATGTTGACGCAGCCCGCCCGCACGATGGCCTGAGCAACTCCCCTCCCCGGACGGACGCAGTCGGGCGCGCATCCCCTTCAATGACTAGTTAGAGAGATAGAGAGATTTCTATCTTCATCTTCAGTGAACAGTGAACTGCATCTTGATGTTGCAGTGCACCTTACCCCACTGCGCTCCTACTGCGTATCCTGCTAGTTTTCCCTTCCCTTCCTTAATTCATTCTAATCCAGTTTCAAGTCTTATAGACAGCGAACTGAAGGAGTGACTGCCAAGCAGGCACAGAGTGCATAGCGCTCTTCTGTGTCTGTGGTGTCTGTCTGGTTAGCGTCACAGCGACGTGCCAGGTAGCACCAGGCTCAGCGAGGTTGCACAGTCGCCGGACAGTGCACCTGCTGGATAGTAGTTTGACTGACGTCATAGCGACGTTAGGAAGCTAGTAAACTATCCTAACTTTCTAGGTGTGGGCCGACGCTCGGCCTCCTGTGAAGCCTCGCTTCATTCTTTTCTCTTCTTTTTACCCGCTTCGCGCTCTTTTCTCTTCGCTTTAGGGTGGTTGTCGAGCCACCCGCAGACCCGGAGGGGCGCCCTCCCGGGGTCCGGGAGCGAGCAGCGCACGACCCAGGCGACGATCATGCCGCGGAGCACCCCCACGGCCTCGGAGCGGTACGACGAGGACGTGCAGACGGCCGGGGGGTCCGCACCCGCAAAACATTCCGGGGCCGACGACCCGGGCACCAGGAGCACTCCTCCAGAACCGCCGCGGCCCATCGCCTCCGAGCCGTCCGACACCAGGACCAGAGAGTCCGACCGATTCGTGGCAGGCACCGTCAGCCGGTCCGCGAGGACTGCCGACGCCGGCCCCCCGGACGACGCGTCCATGTGGCCCGCCGCCTCGAGGAGCGCCGCGAGGCCGGGACCGCCAGTCGGGGGGAGGCGCCGGTCCTCGACACCACTCAGTGACACGGGGCGCCGTAATCAGGGTCGCCCGGCCGCCCGGGGCCCGGGTCGTCAGGCTCGCGTAGTGGCCCCCGCGGCGAGCCCTCGCGGTCATCACTGCGACGAGAGTACGACGGCAAAAATGGCCGGGACGCCGTCGGCGTCCTGCTTC